AGTTTTATAGTGCCATCTTTGTGATCCCTGGTCATGTATGAGCCACGGCAGTGTTCCACAAAGACTGCCTCTTCTAAAGCAGAAGCTTCCAGGTGGTTATCAAGAGATAAGTCCTGCCAATCCCTAGCAAACTTGATCAAGCCCCCAACCTGGACGATTCCGAGAATTAAGATCTTCAGCAGTCACACAGCAACTTCAAGACGCACTGGACACTGAAGGAAAGACAGTCAAGCCATCAGAGAATGGAGTTAAAGACGAGACAGACAACAGAGCTGTTGCAGAGAAGTCGGAGCATGCAGAGGTGGAGCATATCCCAGAGAGCAGCTGCAGGGAACACACTGCTTTATTCTTGGTGTGTGTTCGGGCGGCTGCCCCAGCTAAGCTGGCCTAAACTCATAGGTTTGGAATTTATTTCCACGTTTTGCATTCCTGAGGAAGTGTTCGTAAAGTAAAGCATGCTTTTCTCCTGGACTGTCAACTTTCAGGAAACCTGAAAGGAAAAAAAAAAGTCTTTTTAACTTCTCCCCAAGAGCATCTTACACAATCCAAACTGTGTTAAAATAAACACACTGGCCTAGGATTCGTGTTCAACAACAGCTTGTTGTGGAGGCTGCACGCTTGGAGGACACTCTGGAGGAGTAGAAACATCCAGAGACCAATCTGGGCCTGTGCGGATGTCGTCTGTGTGTGTTAGCTCAACTCTGCGTCCAGGTAAATGAAATCCTGTGAGCTGTGTTCAGGGAGTCTCCTTGGTGCAGAATGCTGTGGCCACTTTCCAGAACCGTTCTTTGTTTGAGAACGTTTACCCAGCCAGCTCTGAAGGCCTCGGAGTACAGCACGGGAGCCGGCGCTTATTTCCACAGTGGTGTTTGCTTAGCTCTTGAAGGGTGCTTGGCTCACCGTTGGGACTCAGTTCTCTGTCTCGCTGTAAAGTGGGTGCACTATATTTCCTCACACTGTTTGAAGTTGGAACTATGTGATGTTCCCAGGCAGAGTGGTCTCCAAACAAACAGGATTCCCTTCTAACTGAACCTTGGTACTCAACCACGTCTCCTGGTCACGAGCACTGGGCATTTCTTCCCACGCACAGGCCACTGAGTCCTGGCCGGAGCCTGCTGCTGCAGGGGATCCCCATCATTGTCCTGAGTCCCTAGCATTTTAGTAACGGCCCGATACAGTGTGTAGGAGCTGTCGAGTTTACTGTCTCTCCTGCGTTTTATAGTGGAGGGAAGGATTGCTCAGGGTAAGTCCCTGACCCAGGCTCATTTCACTGGGTAACTGATTCTCAAATCTCAACATGCTTTCTACCCAAAGATAAAGAGGAAGTCTGAAGAAACTACATTGATTTTTGCCTCTGAGAAATACAGCACCTTTCCCTTATCCATGGTACCAACCATAGCCTGAAAGTACTAAATGAAAATCCCGGAAATTAAAAAAAAAAAATCATGTTTTAACTTTTAATACAACCTGCTGTTATAATTGTTCTAATGTGTGACTCGTGACTTTATAAATCTCCTAATCTATCTAATTCACAGGTGAAACCTTATTATAGGTATATTTGTATAGGAAAGGAAGGTGGCCAATGTGTTTGGTACTCTTCATGGTTTCAGTTGTCCACTGGGGATTGGTCTTGAAGCATAACTTCTGAGGATTAAGGGGGTGTGGTAAAAGTGACATGAGGAGAGAATCTAGTCAACAAAAAAAACTTTACAAAGGCTGAGAACCCTTCCCCACCCAGACCACAAGGGGCATGTGTGAAAAGCCCATGCCTGTGGAAATGACCTCTAAAGGGTTCAGAGCCTACTGGCCCAGTGCCTTTCAGCCCACACTTTCTCCCAGCCTGCTAGCCCACTTCCATTCCTATAACTTTTTCTTTCTTTCTTTTTTTCTTTCTTTCTTTCTTTCTTTCTTTCTTTCTTTCTTTCTTTCTTTCTTTCTTTCTTTCTTTCTTTCTTTCTCTCTCTCTCTCTCTCTCTCTCTCT